TCCACCCCCCCCCAATCCAGGAGTTCCTGGAGTGGTCATTAGCCTTGCTTTTTTGTCTCAGGCATCAAAGACCCCCAACAGACCCTCCCGCCTCCCCGCAGCCCTCACATTGAAGTTCTCTAGCTCTACTCCGGCCCCCACGTCAGATCATCTGCCTCCTTCCCCCGGCCCACCCGAAGATGCCCAGCCAAGACCCCTCAGTCCTTACTCACCACCCAAACACCCTGCTTGCTCACAAGCTGAGCAATTGTCGAATTTACCTTCTAAATTTCAGCCCCCCACCCCCCCACCCCCCGCTCCGTGGAGTGGATTCTCACCGAGTTGGGCAGGGCATTTTTGAAGATTAGAGACATATTCTACTTTTTTTTTTGACCAGAAGTTTCCCCAACCCCCGAGAATTGGGCTCTGCATCTTGTTTTCCTTATTTGCATAAAAATAATTTTTGTAGAGCCAAAGAAACGTCTGTAGGAGACAATCTGCCGTGAGATTCCTTCTCTCCCTCCCTCGCTGCCTTTAAAAAAAATCTTTTTTTTTGTTTCGTTTTGTTTTACATCTCTCTTCTTCCCCTCCTTTCCTTTTCGTTTCCTCGTTTTCCTTCTTGTCTTCCCACAAAGCATATGTTCTTTATTGCGAACCCGCTCACACGTTCTCGGCCTGCTCCCCCAGCGGCAAGGGCACCGCAGCGGCACCGCAGGGGCAAAATCACTGTGGCTGGCCCACACCCCACTGCAGTGCGGCGCCCCATCCCCATCCAGCCCCTAAACCCGACCTCGTCCCGGCGGATTTTCCAGTGGGGGAGAAGAGCGGCGCCAAAGCTTTTGACAAACAACTGCGGGGGACCTAGTGACGGCCGCTCCGCCTGCGGCTGCGCGGGGCGGCGGGTGGAACCCAAGCAGTCACCCAGCCGGGATCCTCGCATCCTGGTCGACGACTCGGTGCTTTGAATTCCTTCCGTGAGCGCGGGGCAGCCTTTCTGCAAAACTGGGAGGCTTCATGGTGTTTGCTCAAGCCACAGACTGCAACCCGGGTGATGCCTGGGGCCCAGCGAGGGGGCAGGCGCGTCCCCACGGGGCTACCACGCCAGGCTGTCAGATCCCCCAGCCCTCCCGTTGGGCAAAAAAAAGAAAAAAGACCTGGGTGGTTGGGGAGCAGACGTCTCCACCCCGCAACTCAGGAACAGTGTTTTACATAGATCGTAAATTTCTCTTAAGGCCTTTGTCTGGCTAGAAATGAGGGCACCTCGCGGAGTCCGCGGGCCAGGAAGGACGGAGCCTGCGTCCACAGGTGCGAGAGCCGCGCGCAGAAGGACGTCCTGCGGCCCAACGCAGACGGCGCGGCCCGCGATCGCACTGTCGGCCACACATCCAGACCCGGGAGCGGGAGAACCTTCCAGTGAATGGGGGCACACTCGCCTCGGGCGGGCGTGGACGGGCAGCCGGCTGTCTATTTCACCCGAAGTTCCTCTGAGACTCGGGGCGCAGGAGACGCCGGCAGGTTGTCCCCCTCTCCCGCCGCCACCGTTCTCTTACTCTTGCCCCCAAGCTTTCAGTGGCATTTTGCACGTGCACGGCGGGCACCGCGTTCGTTTTTGAAATTGTCGTAGAGACTCTCCTGCCTGCTTTCTGGGTACTTTTTCAGCCTGGGGAAAGGAGGCTGCCTTCCTTGCAAACCTGCGTCCAGGGCTGCAGGGCGCGGCCCTCGCCTTCCGAGCCCCATCGTGGGGCCACTCCTTTGTCAATTAGCGCCTGCGTCGCGCCCAGAGGCGGCGCGGAGGCTCTGGCTCAGGGGCTTGGGACTGGGGACCCGGCCTGGGTGGACACTCCCTTCCTGCTCCGGGGCGTGGGGGGCGGGGGTAACTTCTGCTTCCGGAGACTTCTGAAAGGAGTAAAGTGAGGCGCAAGCTTCGGAGCTAGGGAAGCAGCGGCTGGAGTGTAGAACCGGGGTTCGTTCTCGAAACCAATCTGGAAAACCCAGAACCCCCCCATCCTCCCGCGACCGGCTGTGCTCGACTACGTCCAGGCTCCGGCTCCGGGCCTGGTCTGGTTTGGCTGCGAGTGAGCGCATGGGCCGGAGAGCCTCAGCCAACATCGCGGTCCTGGCTTTCCCTGGTCGGACTTCAGGGATACCAAGTTCAGGGAACTTGGACGCCCGAGGTCTTTGGATCCAAAGTGGCCCCGCAGCTTTACCGGCCCAGCTGGCGGAGACTGAGGGTGCCCTCTCGCCCCGCCCTGAGCCTCCCGGGTCCTCTGATCGCCACCGGCTGGAGAGGGGCCGAGTTAATCTTCTGGCTAGAAGAAGAGCGCTCCCGCAGGGGAGAGGCCGGGGAGCAAAGACCCTGGAGCTGTAGGCCACCAACCCCCACCCCCTCGAGGCCTCCATTTGTACATTTTATAGCAAGTGGTGGTCGGTTTATGGATGCGCGTACTGGACTGGCTTCCACGGGTACTCCAGAACCAGTTCAACCCGCCGGACCTGCGTTCCGGGACCCCCAAGGCCCTGCTGCTCACTGTCGCCGCACGCGCACCCCGGGGGGACGCGTCTGAGCCCGCGCGCACCTTCCCCGCTCTGCCCGCTGTCGGGGGAGAGAGAACACGCAGCTGGGCCCCCAGGGTCAGCGCCGCGAGGGTTTGGAGACACAGCCCTCGGCTCAGATACACATGAGACTCAGTCCCGGATGGTCCTGGGTTCCTTTCAGTGGGGAGTTGGAGTCTGCGTTTGCCCTCTTAAAATACACGTTGGGTACCTCCCTCTCCCAACTACCACTGACCCTAGAAAGCGTTATGTCTGCTCCACTCAACCTTTTGAAGACGGAAAACGCAAAACAACAACAACCCCCCCCCCCCCAATTTAGCCCCCGGGCTGCAATCCCTGAGAAGTGGCTTAGGAAACAAGGACACAGACTCTGGTGACCCCCGAGTCTGCAAAAAGGAAATGAGAAAGTTTTCCCCTTGGCCAGCGGAATCATTTAATATAAAATCAGGTTAAATAGGGCTTCATTTTAAGCAGCGACTCTCCTTTGTACTATGAATGTACGTGGGCCCTCCCCCCACCCTGGGGTGAGGGAGGCAATGTCCAGACTTTGCCCCGTGTTTCCAGAGACCTGTCTCCGCAGCTCCGAAGGTCCGTCAAGCCCTTTAACGTTGAAGCCCAGCCAGACGAAAGCTGCCTGCTTTTCCCACTTGCGAGTGGAGTTTTAAAGAGCCAACTCCCACCCCATCTTCCCTTCGGAGTTTGCCTTAATTAGGGGGTGGGGAAGTGGGGTTGGGGGCCGTGTTCAAGTAAAAACTGTCAAAGGAGTTGGGGGAGGGGGGACCTAGAGAGAGGGGTGGAGAACTCCGGCGCAGGAAAAAATCAAAAATGTTAAAAGGAAAAGGGGGAACGTGAAGCCCAGAAGTCATTGTTTCCTTTATTTCAAAGGGAAAAACCTGCCCGATTCTCATCCTTTTGATTGATTAAGGCCTTGAATACCTCGCAGCCCCAGAGTGACAGTCCCTGAATAGACTCCAGCGAATAAAGCGCAGCGCAGAGTGCGGGGCTGGCACTCGGGGTGTAAAGGAGGCGAGTTCGCTGGCACTTACCAAGTTATAAATAAAAGGCTAGGCACAATGGTACCTTCTCTAAGGACAGACAGTCTTTACAACACTCCTGGCGTCATATCCTGCTGGGGACACTTCAGCTCCTAGCCAAGACTTCGCTCCTTTTATTTTTCCAGCAGTTTAGTCTGAATACCATAATAAATTCCTGAGAACAAACGCAGCAGCCGGGCAAAACTTTAACATATAGACACATCTCTGCTGCCGCACTGGGGATCTATACCTCGAGATTTAGAGCTGGGGCTTCCCAGAGTGGGTTTTTCAATCAAGAGGCGGTTTTCTTCTCGCTCTCCGCCCCAGACTTCAGCTAGTGAGTCCTAGGGCCTCCCCGATGGCTGCCGAAGCTTCTCGCCCGCCACTCCTGATCCCAGACGGGAAGACAAAAGAACTTTATCAGCACACTCTGGACTCCTCCCGGGAGGAACCCCACTAGGAGGACCCCTAAAACAAACCTAGGCCAAAGGGACATTGACCAAAAGAAGGAGAGCTAAACAAGTCTGGGGGATGGGGATGGGGGTGGGGGGGGTCCCAATGCCTTCTTATTGGAATTGCCCCCTCCAGTGGTTGTAAACCAAGAAAAACGAGGGAAAAAAGAGTCACAGAAAAACAGAGACGTAGAGAGACAAGGAGATGCAATGGTTAGAATAGAGTCAGAGACGGAGAAAGACACACAGAGATACACGGAAAGAGACAAAGAGAGAAATAGAAAGTCAAGGAGAGAGGGACACACGTAACGTGAGAGGGAGGCTCCTCTCTGCAGCTGCCATCTCCCTCGGGCTGTCTCTCCCAGGTTCCACGGGTCTGCCCTTCTCTTCCGGGGAAGGGGCGCAGCGTGGGTCCCTCTCCGGGCCGGCCAGGGCCTTGGCACCGCCGGGGATGGGAAGAGAAAGTGGCCGCTGTCGCCCAATCAGCGCGTGTCTCCGCCACCCGGGACGGTCTCCCCGTCGGCCAATCGCAGCTCAGGGCTCCTGACCAAGCTTTGGGTGAAAGAACTAATAAATGCTCCCGAGCCCGGATCCCCGCACTCGGTGTCACGACGGGAGGAGATTCAGGCCGGCCGCGCTCCCACCCCCGCCCCCCCTCCCTGGCTCGTCGCGGCGCTCGCAGCCCCCTCCCCAGCGCCCCCAGCCGCAGGGCCAGTCGCCCAGACTCAAACCAAACTTCTCCGCCCTGGGCTCGCGACCCCGGACTCCGGGGCCTCCCTGGCCGCCCCTTTCCCCGGTTCCATCCCGAGCCTCCCTCCCGACCCGGAGCGCGCAGTCCTCCGCGCGTCCCTCCCTCTCTTTCCAGCCTTTTTGGGGAGGGGCTCTCCGCGCTCGGGGCAGTTCCCGAGGGTCGCCGGCACCGCGCTCGCGCTTCTGTTTCGCCGTCACCTGGATATAATTGCCCGGCGAAGCTGCCCCGAGGATGACCACGCTGGCCGGAGCCGTGCCCAGGATGATGCGGCCGGGCCCGGGGCAGAACTACCCGCGCAGCGGCTTCCCCCTGGAAGGTAAGGGAGGGCCTCCGCGCCGCGCGGAGCCTGGGGCCCGAGCCGGGCTGCTGCACCCCTACCCAGCGTCTCCGCAGGCTTCCTCGGCGCGCCCCCCATCCCTGGGCGCCCCTACCCCAGGGGGTAACAGTCGGGGAGAGGTCGCCGCTCGATTTTCTCCCTGCAAACGGAGCGCAGTTCTTTCTGCGAAACCCTCGCGACGCTTGGCGGCCAGGCCTGCTCCAGGCCGGTCGGCTTGGCGCTGCGGTTTTGCAAGGGCCGTGGTGGCGAAGGGCTGAGCCGGCTTCCGAGCGCCAGAAAGCAACATCTCCGCGTTTTGTCCACCCGAGGGCGGTTCAAGATTGTCGCGGCTGCGCCGACCTTTGCTAGGCTCTTGTCAGTTCCGAAATAATGCTCTTGCCGGCCGCAAAGTGTAGTGGCAGACGCCCGGTGGCTTCGTGCTTGGAATTTTTGGTAATAACGGATTAATGCATTAGAGTTCCATTCATCTCCAGGGGCGCCTCGAAGTTTTCCATAAACCTTTTTGGGGAACTGCCTTGCAGGCCTCCAGCACGGAATCCCAGGCAGGAAGGTTTGGAAGCCCCAGCCCTTCTGGATGGTTTGCTAGGTTGGGGCACAAGCGCTGGAAGCTGATCCCGCCGCGCGCCCGCCCTTCAGGCTGGGTCTAGAGTGTCCTATCCAGAGCATGGATGGAGGTGAAGGGGTCTGCGAGCAGACCCCGCTGTCATCTCGGTCCCCAGGTCTAACAGGTGACAGGCGCCACCACCCGAGGCCTCCTTTGGGCACCCTCTTTGACCTTTGGCTGCTGCACTCTCAGCCAGAAACCCCACGGGCTGTCAGCTCCTCCAAGTCCCTTAGAAAGGGAGCGGTTCCAATTGAACAGGGTTTAGTGCGAGTGGTGTTCCCGGAGGCCAGCGTCTGGGTAAACTTCTCGGTGCCAGGAGGCTGTTTTTTGAGCCAGCCTCAAGGTACTGGTCCCAGGGTCTTCCCTTCCGCCCCCCCCCCCGGCACACCCCCTGCCGAAGATGCCCCTTTCTCGGGGCCCAAAGGGAAGACAGCTGCTCTGGGGCCAGTTAGTTTGCCTTCCTTGCTCCCCCTTCACACACGACTACGTGCCCCCGAAGTGCTTACTACTTCGCACGGATGTGATTGGGGAAGGGGCTGCGGCTGGGAGCCGGATGTCTCGCCGTTTCAGCTGCGGCTGCAACACGCGGATCGTCCGGCGGCGGCGAAAGGAATGAGGTGGCCTCATCTTCCCGGCTGCTCTCTGTTCCCCCGAAGTGACTCTCCCTTTGCGTCTCTTTTCGCCTTCTGCTCCCAGTGTCCACTCCCCTGGGCCAGGGCCGCGTCAACCAGCTCGGTGGCGTGTTTATCAACGGCAGGCCGCTCCCCAACCACATCCGCCACAAGATCGTCGAGATGGCCCACCACGGAATCCGGCCCTGCGTCATCTCCCGCCAGCTGCGCGTGTCCCACGGCTGCGTCTCGAAGATCCTGTGCAGGTATCAGGAGACCGGCTCCATCCGCCCCGGGGCCATTGGAGGCAGCAAACCCAAGGTGAGCAGGCGGGCCTGGCCCCGGAGGCCTCCGGGCCTGTGGTCTCCCGGCTTAGGGAAGATCGGGGCAGGGGACAAGGGCGAGCATCTGGGGCTTTCCAAGGAGTCCTTTTTCGTGGCTGGAAAGGGGTGTGGGGGGTGGGGCAAGGTTGCTGCCTGGGCGGCTGCTCCTTGATAAACGCTAAGGAAAACTCCAGCCTTTTTGCAAAGGAGATGTAACATTAAAAAAAAAAAAATGTCCCAGCACCCTAGAATAGCCATCAAATTATTTTAATAGGCAAACACTGAAAGCATGCAACTGTACGTGCCCACCTGTTGCTGGCTTTCTCCCCAAGAGTCTTCCCAGCTCTGACCCACTGCACTGCCTTTTCCAAATCTACAGAACCGCTTTTGGTTTTCTAAATATTTTCTCTCCCACCTTCTGTCCCCAGTCTCCCGCGGTCCAAATTGTCTTCAGGGAGTCAAAAGCTAGGGTGATTTGTTTTCTTTGTAATGAGCAGATGACTTGGCATTTAGAAAGCAGTTTGGTGCTATCCTCAAATTATTTTGGTTCCTTTCAAAAAATGAAAGAGTCACCCTGGCTAAGGCTCAGTGGGAGGGGACTGCACTGGGTCTGTCTTTTCTTCTGGATGTGAGGAAAATCCAATATAATTTTCTAGTTGCCACAGGGCAAAATCCAAAGGAGGATTCTGGTAAACCCTCCTCCCTCCCACCCCCAGATCCCTTTGCAACCTCTCCCAGAATCTCTAGAAATGACTTTTACTGGGGGGAAAAGGAAGCCAGTGTCTCAAAGTACCCATATTTGTTATCCACTCTGATTAATTTTTTTAAACCCATATAATCACCTTTTGCATTGCATTCTGCTCTCCAGAGTAGCTAAACTATCTTGTGCTTTTCGGGAGAGGTACAAGTTGTAGCTGTAACTTGATTTTTCTGCTTCTCCTTCAAACATTCCCTCTTTTAGTTTCGTTTTCATGTTTCTGTGTAAAGAGTTGGCTTTCTTTATGTTCAGGGATCAGAAAGTAACCCTCCCCCCCCCCAAGATGTTATAAGTCTTTTTAAATATCCTAAGTGTCCAAGCTTACCTATGGAGGAACAGGGTCAACGGGGTGGGGAGATCTCATTTCTACCCCTTCCTAAAAGTAAACTGCTTCAGAGAATGGGGCCCTTTTGCTAAGGAGGAGGACCTTCCCAGGGGATTCCGGAAGGAGCATTCCGCAGGGCTAGGAGGCGGTGGGGCCCCCACGTTTGGCCCAGAGTACTGGGTACCAACGCCTGCTCTGCCTGTTCTCTTAAAGCAGGTGACAACGCCTGACGTGGAGAAGAAAATTGAGGAATACAAAAGAGAGAACCCGGGCATGTTCAGCTGGGAAATTCGAGACAAATTACTCAAGGACGCCGTCTGTGATCGGAACACTGTGCCCTCAGGTACCAGGCCCATTAACGTCTTCCTTAGGCACTGCCGTCAGTCGCTATTCCCCGGGTGGGTCATCCAAGCCGCAATCACCCCAAAGATCGATCTGGGCGCTGGGGAGGCGGCCCCTCCCAGGGCCCTGAAATATTCACGAGCCAGGGGCGCTCTGGGTGTTTTACCGAGGGAGGGCTGAGCTGCCGGTCCTGGGGTTGAGAGATCGCCAAGGGCTCCCCAAAGAGGGTTTGTGTCGAGAAGGCAAGGCAGGAAACGCGAGGCGGAGGCCAACAGTTTATTAATATTGATGTTCCCTTTTAAAGAGAAACAAATGTTTTGGTAACCCCAACCGAAGGGAGATGGGGCCGCGCCAGCCCAGGCTTTGCCTAGTGCGCAAAGGAGGGGAGGCTTCGGCAACGGCCCGGCTTTTTCCCGAGAGTCCCAGGGACCATCCGGTGCCCCCGGCAGCCCGGGTGGGGGTGTTGGGGGGGGCAGGCGGAGGGAGAAGAGGGGCGAACGCGGGGCGAGCGCGAGGGCGCGCGGGAGAGTTTGTTTTTAATTAAAAGGAAACTCCCTTCCCCCCCCCACCCCCCTTCGAGAACGAGATATTTCAGAGCATGGATTTGTTTACCAGACTGGAATCTGGAAAAAATAAATGGGGGAGAGTGCATTTTCTTTTGATTTTTTACAATAGGAAACGATTCTGCAGTTGAAATTTAAACCCTTTACAGCCTCGGAAAAAAGTTGAATTGCAGGGGACGGGTCCGCTGTGGTTCTTCCTCCTTAACGCCAACCGCGGGGGCCCCATACCCAGACGGCAGCAGGGGTGCTGGGTGGTGGGCTGGCCGGAGAATTCTCTCGGATTGGAGATGCAGAGCGCCGTCTATAGAGTCAGCAAGGGGAATGCTTTCTACCAAGAGGGACACAGACGGCGGTCCCCGGCCCTAACTTGGAGGTGCGGGCTCCCCGGGCGTCCGGCTCCCAGTAGCTCCAGGTAGCTCGCAGCCGACCGTGGGGTGCGGGGATTGGAGTGGGCGGGTGAAGGGGGAGGCAGAACGACGAGGATGCAGGAGGGAGCCCGTGAGTTGTGCAGAGCAGCCGCTCCTGGGCTCGGGGTCGGGGGTTCGGGGGCTCCTCCCGCCCGGCCTGGCACGGCTCAGTCGTCCGCGCTCTCTCCCCCCTCCCGCCCCCCGCCCCGCCTCCAGTGAGTTCCATCAGCCGCATCCTGAGGAGTAAATTCGGCAAAGGCGAGGAGGAGGAGGCTGACCTGGAGAGGAAGGAGGCAGAGGAGAGCGAGAAGAAGGCGAAACACAGCATCGACGGCATCCTGAGCGAGCGAGGTAAGCGGCGGCGCGCTCCGGCGGCGCGCGGAGGGCCCGCGCCTCGGCCGCGGCCGCGCTCCGACCTCGGGGGCGGGAGCGCAGGGCGGCTCCTGCCGCTGTCGGGGCCTCCCCTCGCTGGTACCCACTGCACCCGCGTACGGAGCATTCAAACGAAAGACCAGAGACGCCCTTGAAATTAAAACAAAAATATCTGATCGCCCCCCCCCCCCCCCCCAACCCCGCTTTATAAACCTTCCTTCTGCACCGGTCTCAGCCCCTTGGAATCTGGAACCGCGAGCTGCAGTTTGGTGCAGGGCGACCCTCTTGCCCTCAGGTGTCCGGGGCCAATCGTCTGGGAGAGGCTGAGGGGCTGGGAACAGTCTGTGAGCCTCCGGAGGCTGAAGGAACCTTTGCACCCTCAGGAAAGGCCCAGATTTCCCGAGTTTCCCATTATCAGAGGAAAGGCCGGGAGAGAAGGACTCAAAACCCTTCCCGGCAGTGGGGCCCCAAAACTGCACCTCGTCGGTTGCCTTATACACACATACATACACACATACATGTAAGTGGGCTGTTTTGTGTTTTTAAGTGGTTTTCAAATGCGATGGGGATTGATTTCTGTGTGTGTCTAGGAAGTAACACCAGCCTAAGATGTGGGCTCTTGGGACGGTGGTGTTGCACCCTGTCTCCACCCGAAGGTACAGGCCACCTGCTCCTTGTTGGCTGTGACCTGTCATCATCACAAGAAAGTCTCTCCTTTGGAGCCATAAGTGCAGCCTTCTTCTCTCATACCTGCTGCACTCGGTCTGGAGAGTCTAAAGGTGTCCCCCTCCCCTCAAAAGGAAAGCGAGCCCCAGGGTGGGGGGGAGTTGAACCGGAAAAGGGTCACTGCAGCAGTTTTCCTGTGAGTAGTTTTGGCTTTGGAGATGGTCGCACCTCTTCAAAGGCACAGAGGGCCGGGAAGCACCTGGCATCCCTGCCAAGCCTAGAGTTCCCGGGACTTCGGTGGGGAGAGCTGGGTTCTGACTTGCCTTAGAAGGGCAGGCGGCTCTCCCCGTGGGCTTGAAAACCCAGTGTGACTCCCAGAGTCAGGGCCGTGGCTTCCCGAGCAGGACTGTGGGTAGCAAGCTGGTCACTGCTTTCGCCTTCATTGCTCAACCGGGCAGACGGCAGCAACTTTACAAACCGACACACACTGTGTACACAGCCTTGCAGGGACACTTAGATTTAGATGTTCCAAACCCAGAGGATTCTGGGGATACGCAGAAGCCTAGATGCTCGGGTACACACGGGCAACTGAGAAAAGACACCCCCAACCACAGGCAGGATGATATGTATGCGGTTGTTTCCCTCCCTTGAAAGCAGGGGACTCACAAGATCTTAGCCTAAGCCTGTCCCCTGGGAGAGAGGACACCCCGGCTTTTATTCCAGGCCTAGATGCAGCCAAGAGGTACTGGGGAGGGAGGAAGGAGAGAAACTAGCCAATCCCAAACCCAGCGGGCCCCTGCGGGCACAGGGGCAAGAAGCCCGGAGCTATCAGAGAGGCTCAGGAAGGGGGTGGGGGGGCACGGCTTTGCTACTTGTTGCTGGAGGCACCCGCGGCAGAGCCCCGCTCCCTCGCAGCACAGGCAACCGAGGCCCAGGAGACAAAACGCCCCAAATGAGCTGGTCAAACATTTGTACAACTTTTCCAGCTTTTACAAAGAAGGCCTTCTCTACACAATCTACACTTGGAGATGAACTTGGGAGACAAAGACTGGAGAGTCCATTGAAACTCACACTTTAGCTCGGCCCAGACAAAGCTCCAGCTCGCAGCAGCTTGATGTGAACAAAGGAAGGCAACCTTTTTATAATTCAAGGAGAAAAGAAGAGAAAACAGCCCCACAAAGGGCCGAGAATAGACATTATGGGCTTGCAATGAGGGATGAATTATTCAATGAGCTCCAATAGCTGCTGCACCAGGAAGTTTTATGGACTCTCCAGCGTGGAAAAAGTGGCTATTTCACCTACAAAATGTTTCTAGTCTTTTGGGCTGTCTAGCTGGGCCGGCTGCCATTCAAGGGCAATTGCTACCATTTTTAAAATCAGAGTATTCTCCCCAGCGGGGGCTGTGCCGTTGAAAACACACACACACACACACACACACACACACACACACTGCGCAGAGGCTGAAGCCTAATTTAATTTGGGGTTGTCAGAGAAGATACAGCGTCGGTTTCTTTAGCGGCTGTAGCTTCGTTTCCAGATAAGCCCTGGAGGGCATATGGGGCCCAGAGAGAGGACAGAGTGAAGTGTAGTTTAAAGGGAAGCCTAGAAACCTAAAAAAAAAAATTACCTCTGTTCTTTGGGCACCAAAAGTTATCGACTTGCAAAACAGAAAGAATGTTGATAAAGGGTTCTGAGTCCTCTGGAGGAGAGGGAGGCGCGTGACCAAGAGAGGACCTTTGGGTGCCGGGAGCAATGGGACGCGCTCCCTCTGGAGGCTCCCGCTTCCTTGCGGGACCGGGAAGGGGGGCGAGGGAAGCTGAGACTGGCTTTCCAGGGGACGTCTTTCCGCTTGTCACGCTCGAGAAGGCCCTGGAAGGGAGGCACCCAGAAAGGGGTCAGAAGTGCCCCCGTTTTTCTGCAGTGTTTGGCCTTTCTTCTAGGTGACCCCCTTTACCTTTTCAACTTTCCCTCGTCCCCTGCCCACTCCGAGCGCGCTGCCTCGGCGCGCTCAGGCCCTTGCGCCCCGGCGCGCGCTGGACGCTGCGCAGCCCTGCTGGGTCCATGCTTCCAGCTCCTTCGCGCGGGTGTAAGGACAAAGCTGGGAGGCCGGGGACAGCGAACCGCTCCCCCATCCCCACCCCCATCCCCACCCCTCCCGGTCCCGGCCCGCCGGCCAGCACCCAGATCCGAACAGGCGCAGTCGGAGGAGCCGAGCCGCGGTCGCCGCACCGGGGGCCGCGGGCACAGCCTCCGCCGCGGCCACTCAATGGGCGCCTCTGTTCCTCCCCCGGCGCGGCGGAGCGGGCCCGCGGGCGCCGTCACAATGCGGCGGCCCCCACTCCTGCGCCCTGCGCCAAAGCGCCGCGCCGCGCCGCCCCTCCCCTGCGCCCCGGCCGGCTCGAAGCTTAGCTCGCCGGGCTGCAGCCGACTCAATTGCCTCCTTTATGTCCTTCTCACTTTCATCTAGACACAGCCCGCCTTCCACCTCCCCCCTCCTTCTTTTTCTCTCTTGCCCGAGGCTCACATTAGTGAAATTTCTGCAGCCTCCCCCCATTTTTTTTTCTTATTTTAAAGAAAGCCCTTAACACAAAAGCAGTGACTAATCAATAGAAACTGCTCCTTCATCTCTTCCTCCTCCTCCTCCTCCTCCTCCTCCTCCTCCTCCTCCTCCTCCTCCTCCTCCAGCAGGGTGACGCTTTTCCTGTTTGTGAGTTTTGGGAAACATTTTTGCTTTGTGCCGTAATGGAATTAGAGGACAGATGAAGACTGTAAATGGACACGCGACGGCAAGACTCTCGCTTAAATATTTAGATGCAACATTACAATTACTGACTTGTTGCAGCGGCTTTGAAGTGGCAGCTCCGAGTGCTCGGGGAGAGAGGCCAGATTGCCCAATTGATGTTTTGATTGAGGCTGGAGATACACTTTCAGAGGACTTTCCTTTCGCCCTTTAAAAATCACTAGCGAGCGGGGGAGGTTTGCAACAATTTCGAAGGTTGGGCTCAGAGACCCCGAGCATAGGTCGGTTGGGACTTATACTCCCTATCTCTCCCTTCCTGCTTGACATCTATGAAAAGCAGGTCTTTTTTTTTTTTTTTTTTTTTTGAGAAAGTAAAAGTGACCAAAGTTTTGCCCGAGTTCCTTTTTGTTTGAAAACTTGCCAGGTTTTCAGAAGTTACTAGGACACTGTCAGTTTTTCCTCGAGCAGAAGATAAGGCACCTAAAAACGCAGAGAAGTTTTAAAGGCCACTGAAATAGTTGTTTTCCAATGGAATCATGAAAAGAACACTTTATCATTGACGGGGGCGCTACTGAAGTCAGGAGGAGCGAAGGCCATTTCTTCCCCCCGACTTAGCAAGGGAAGGACATTTTGGCGCGAGGCAAAGCCGGGGAGAGGGGGGAGGAACTTTCCCACAGCCTGAAATCCCGGGATATAAGACCTTAGGTTTGTGGCACCGGAACCTTTATTAAAGTGGACAGCCCACTCTCCAAGTGCGTTTGTCAGAATCCTGAATTTGACCCCAACGTCGCCTCTAGTCTTTTGAGTGAATTTTATGTTTTCTGAAGCCCTTAAGATAGGCCAGGAGGAAAGAGCACCCGCGCAGAAGTGTATTGGAACTATCAGCACTTGAATTAAATTAAAACACCTCCCTGGGTCCTTTTCAGGGAAGTAAGGGTAACGATTTTCCTGCTGGAGTGATGAGAGAGAGAGAGAGAGGGAACCAAAGAGAGAGAGAAAAAGAGAAAGAAAGAAAAAGAAGAAAACCACCAGAGTTCGGATCTTGTAGGCTTTTCTTTTTTTTGCTTGTTTGTTTGGTTGGTTGGCGGCTGTATGCTTACTTTTCAGCCTTATGGAAAACATGCAGATTTTCTAATTAATGCTTGAAATCGTGTGTTTATTTTGGGGCTTGATTTGATTGTTGATAGCACTGGAACGGGGGACTAGGGGCTTCAAGTGCCTAATAATTACTGAAGGGTCATTTAAGAGTCCCCAGGGCTTCAATAAAACCCACCCGGGCGGTGAGGCGGAACCAGCCAGTGCGAGCGGTTCAGGAGAGTGGGATATACGGAAATCAATCAGGTGAATAGGAGCGTTGCCATTGAACTCAGTTTCAATATCCGTGAATAAATATGTTTTCGAGACCAAAAAAAATCCTTCCTAACCATAAGGTTAAATGTTTAAGCCGTACATAAGTAAATAGCCAATGAAAATGAAAAGTCGCAACATCAGCCTCAAAAAGTGAGGCAGAGTTTGTCCAGGACTGGGGACAGAGAAGGTTCAGTTCGGTGGGGTTCGAGACAGGTAACTTATTTATGCGGGTAAATAAAGATTAAAGAACCATTAAGAATGCACATATATAACTAACAAGACACTAACAGGCAATTAAGCAGTCAGTTTAATGCCTTATCTCACTGGCTGCTCTGGGGTTGTTTTACAACTAGGAATTAAAATCTGAAAAGGAAGTTTTCAGCAGCTCTGGCCAAATATTGATTAAGTAGCTGTTTGTTGATAGCATTGTTACTCATTAAAAGGCCGGGATCTCGGCCCCTCAGTGGCCATCTTCTATTGTGAGGGATTCTTAACCACGGAGATCAAAGTGGGATCATTTCAACTTATCTGTCTTGGAAAATCCTCCTTTTCCTCTGAAACCTCTAAGGAGGATTGACCAAATTCTCTTTAAGAAATAGGAACCCAGACCAGTTACATGTCGTAGGTTTGTAGAGAAGAGATTCATGGGGTGTTTTTAATTATCCTATGGTGATTTCTTGTTTAGAGCTTAGGCTAAGATGGTGAATTTATCATCAAATAGATTCTTGTTTTTGGAGGGTGGCTGGAGGCATGGAAGCTACTATCCCCGCGTCCCTTAACTTCTAAATATAGAATTTGCTTTTGCCAAAGTTGCCCTCCAAGTTGGAACGGTGGAGAGGAAAGATGTCAGATTTTTATGTAAAACTAGGTGGGGACTAATTAAATACACAGGAAACTGGGAGTTACACTAAGTATATTTCCGTACATGTGTTTCTATATTTTTTGTTTACATGAGTCTCATGCATAATTTTAACCCGCTATAATGTAGGAGTAGATATGTATTTGTGTATAGTTTGTGCATCGTTAGAGTTTATTTATAAGTTGCTCACTATGACTTATTCTGGCAGTAAGCTATATCCAGTTGCACAAAATAAAGGCTTATTTGTCCAATGGATTACACTTTCTAGAGTCATCAGAATTTGAGATAACAGCACAAACTCGCAATTCTTATTCAGCCCCGCTGTTTAATGCTGGGGGAAAAAAATTCCCTGAATGATTTTATGACTTTTTGGCTGTTGATGTTTAGATGAACTACTAGATTTTTTTTTTAAGTTTAAGAATTCAATATATTTAGATAGATTTTTCTTTTATTATTGGAGTTCAAATTCCTGCAAGGGCTTTTATGGAAATACCATCTCTGTGCTTAATTTGCAAATTCCAACAAATCACTCTGAGGTTGTGAAATTTATGCCAGATTCAGGCTTTGGGTATTCAAATATGTATCATGCATCTGTCTTTCTGAATCTCCTTCTCTGATTGTGTTCATTGCAGTCCTAAATAATTGTGCATAAGGCTTTATTTTATTTTATTTTGTTTTTATTCTCTCTTATTCACTCTTGAACAAGATGAGTCTTGATGTACAGAATTACTAATGGATATTTTCTATTATCATCTCCCAATTAATTAATAACCTACCTGTGCTCAAATGTTCTTTGATTTAGTCCGAATCATTCAGCACAGAGCAACTGCCTGAAATAGATTAAGCTGGAAGTGTGAGTCAGCTCAGATCTGTTATGGTTACCCTGTCCTGGGTCCAGATGCAGCACTAGGGCGTTCTTTGTTGCATACGTCACATGTACATGTATATGAAATATACATATGGAGTTTAAGTGACTATTCCCCCTTGAGTATCAGGCTATGTGTTCCTATATTGCAAGGGGAGGGGGGCTGCAGAATCGAGCTCCAAACTGGGTCTGATCTCAGTACCAAGGCAGAATTACTGATTTGAGAATTGGCTTATGTCAGTTATATCTCAATCAAGTTGAGAAAAAAAATAAATACGATTTGATATTATTGTAAAAAAGAAAAGAAAAGGACTGGCTGCCTTTCACTGAGGAACTATGCTCAGAGAAAGTGGAAGGGAATTTCAGAAGTTGCCTTTCTCTTAGAAGATGCACACCAACGTGGAAACAGGACCATCTTCTGCTCTGTTTTGGGAAAGATTTTCTTGCCCTATACGTGCCAGTCTCTGGTGGAGAGTGTCACAGTGCACTCTTCAGCTGTGCCTTGCAAGGTCGGGCCAAACACTGAGCCCCAGTAGCATTGAACTTTTGCTGGAATCAGGACATCTGTCTTCTAAGAAAGCTTCCTCTCAAATGATCTGTATTAGGATTATGCTTCCAAAATGTATAATTTCCAGTTAGCTACGGGAACATGTGCAGTTATCAAAATGCCCATTAACATTATAAAATGTCTACTCAAGGGAGAGGAGCTAGAAACGTCATCACTGTCAAAAGCAGATAGGAAAACTGTGCAAAGTAGTTGCTGAGGACACTTGAGGCAAGGTTTTATGAATTCTCACCTTCAGTGTTGGCTTTCCTTCCTTCCTGATAAAAATTAAGACTCACAGACTTCTGCTATGGAAGTGGCCACTTCTCTTTAAGGTAGAAGAAAGTCCATAGAAATAAAGGGTGATGTGAAATTTAGAATTTGAGTTGATGCTCATTTCTCCTAAGAAGGAAAATCTTGAGAAAGAGTTTTATCCTGCATATGGCATGTAGCAAAGTTTGTAGCATTTCAATTTTTGCTGCAGGATTTTAAGTAAACAGCAACTACTACAAAGAAACTCTTCTCTTTGGGGTGAAGCAACTTGATCAAAGTAGTCTGAGTTTTTATGCCCTCCTGACTGCAGTGGTTGGGAAATCAATCTCCCTCAGTAAAACAAGTGAGAAGTCATGACAGGCAATAAGAAACTAACTGTATATTTGTCTCCTTCAACTCATTTAGGGATTTTGTGACTATATGTACTTTTCTTTGGCCAGATTCAATGCTGCTACCACAGTATATTAATATAAAATCTCAGTTCTAGGGGCCA